TCTGGCTGAACGTTTCTTTTTGTGTATGGAAAACATCGCTTTCTAAGGTGTGTGAAATAATCCTGGTTCCATGCACAATGCATGCTAGACAGAGTCCACTGCAGAGTCTCACTTTTCTAGTGCAGCGGTGTTTATTTTCATAACGCAGCAAGGAACCTTTCAGGCAAGGGCGATCAGGTTCAGAAAGGCGGTTCTCTACTGGAGCAAATGGAATAATTTGTGGTGAATAACGTACTCGACAAAGTTAACCTCTTGCTCTGTTTGTGAATTATTTGTGAGCATCTTATTATTTATTTGTATTACTGTGGTGCCAAGGGGCCCTAGCAATGGATCAGGACCCCAGTGTGCTAGGCACTGTACAAACACAGAACAAAAGGTCTTTTCCCTTTTCCCCAAAGAGCCTACAATCTCAGTATAAGACAAGATAATAGATGGATACGGACAAAGGGGGCACCACAGGAAAATAATGAGACAATACTGGTCAACATGATAGGCAGTTATCTCAGCCTACCAGCTGCCTAACCGTTGGCAAGTTTTTAATAGGCATCAAGGCAAAGGAGACTCTTCAGGGTGGCTTTGAAGGAAGATAATGAGTGAGTTTTGCAGATGTTTATGGGGAGTTTCTCCCAATTGTGAGGGGCAGCAGGAGAGAAAGCAGGAAGGTGCTTGTCTAAAAATTTAACAAGTGAATGATAGAGGCTGGCACCATGGGCTTATGTGAGTACTTAGCATTCAGTCTTTCTAGTTATGACTAAACACATCATATAGAGTTACTTCTCTTTCCTTACTGGTTAAACATAACTCTTAGATTCATGTTCTTGCTGTGCATATTCAGACTTTAAAAATTAAAACTGATTTTCATGAATTCTCTCTAGTCTTTGCTATTTTTCTTAACATTCCTGCCAACAAACTCATTTCCTAGAATATTTGTGCAAAGTGAGAATACAGGGGGCACCAGTGCCTCTGAAGTAAATGCAGCTTTATTGAAGTGAATAATCATGGAAGATCCCCCTAACTCTAGTCTACATGCTAGCAATATAAATCTAAATTTTGGTGGGGGTGGGGGACAGGGAGGGTTGGAATTATTTAAACTAGTACCTGGAGGCAAGCTGGTCTGTGCTGCAGAGCAGTTAAATCAGACCATGCAATCTGCTAGGGACAGCAGTATAATTACAAATGAGAACTTGAGGAGCAGGAGATAAGAGTGAATAGGTGACGGTGTGGGACAATCTAGACCAGTGGTTCTCAACCACAGGTCTGAGGCCCCCTGGTGGGTCACGAGCAAGTTTCAAGGGGGCCACCAAGCAGGGCCAGGATTAGACTAGCTGGGGCCCAGAGCAGAAAGCCGAAGCCCCACTGCGTGGAGCGGAAACCCCCGGGCCTGCACCCAAAGCCTGAGCAATGTAGCTGTGGTGTGGGGCCCCAGACAATTTTGCCCTGCTTGGTACCCTTAACAATGGCCCTGGCTTTTATATGCAGAAAACCAGTTCTTGTGACACAAGTGAGCCATGGGGTTTTTATAGCATGTTGGGGGAGTGGGGCCCTGGAAGGGAAAAGGCTGAGAACCCCTGATCTAGACGTTTGTCACTTCTGAAAGCTGGTGGGATGAAACCAATGGGACTACTGTAATTCCTGAACATAACTAAATATAGGGAAAATGGATTAGGTTGCTAGGAAAGCTCCCAGGGCTCTTAGTAGACACTACAACAATATAAATAAAGAATAATGGTACTTAAAGAGGGTGAATAATAATATAGCATCTTGTGGCTTAGGAGCTCAGTACTTTACCAAGTTAGACATTATCCCCAGTTTGCATGTTGGTGTGATGTGGGTTAAAGGGCTTGATCCTGCTTCCCTTGTAGTCAACATGAGTCTTGCCATTGACTTCAATAAGAGCAGGGTTAGAGCCACGATGAGGTACACCAACCTTGAGACTTGTTCAAGGTCATACAGCAAGTCAACGATAGAGCTAGGAATAAAATTCATGGGTGAAATCCTGGCTCCATTGAATTCAATGGCAAAACTCCCATGGAGGTCAAGATTTCACCCCATGTTTTGTCTCCCAGCCTTGTGCATTACACTGACTCTTTGTGGTACTGGGTATGAAAGGACTTCATAGACTCTATCAAAGAGATTTTCTGGGTGGAGAGGACCAAGAGGTAGCACATGTACAGAAACAATATTGGGACACCAGCCTAAATAACCTGGAAGTGCAGTACCAGCCTCTGGATTAGAACAAGAATAATGGATGTAAAATGTCAAGAGCAATCATGGAGTTGGCAATATCTAATGCAGTGGTTTTCAGCCTGTGGTTCATGGACACTTTGTGATCCGCAGACTATGTCTAAAGCAGAGGTGGGCAAACTACGGCCTGGGGGCCATATCCGGCCCACAGGACCATTCTGCCCAGCCCCTGAGCTCCTGGCCAGGGAGGCTCACCCCTGGCCTCTCCCACGCTATTCCCCCTCCCACGCAGCCTCAGCTCATTGCACCACCGGCGCCATGCTCTGGGCGGCGGGGCTGTGAGCTCCTGGGGCAGCGCAGCTGCAGAGCCCGGCCTAACCTGGTGCTCTGTGCTGTGCGGCGCATCTGTGCTCCAGGCAGCGCGGTAAGGGGGCAGGGAGCGAGGGAGCGGGGTTGGATAGAGGGCAGGGGAGGCTGGGGGTGTGGATAGGGGCCGGGGCAGTTAGAGGGCGGGGAACAGAGGGGTTGAATGGAGACAGGGGTCCGGGGGGGCAGTCAGGAAGGAAGTGGGGTTGGATGGGGCGGTGGGGGGCAGTTAGGGGCGGGGGGTCTGGGGACAGAGAGCAGGGCGGGTGGATGGGGCAGGGGTCTCGGGGGGGCCATCAGGGAACAGGGGGGTTGGATGGGGCGAGAAGCAGGGGGGTCGGATGGGGGTGGGGACCAGGCCACGCCTGGCTGTTTGGGGAGGCACAGCCCTCCATACAATTTCTGAAACCTGATGCGGCCCTCAGGCCAAAAAGTTTGCCCGCCCCTGTTCTAAAGGGTCACTATGAAAATAAATCTTCAGATCCCACAAAAAGGAATTCTGTTTTTCTGATGGATCAAAAGTATGTGAATACCCCACCTAAAGGTCAAAACCTGGCATTGTTGTCATTACCATAGAAACCCACAGCTTAGGGCCCCTTTCTCATGCTGCATTGAATGCTGCGCTGAGCACATGCAACATTTATAGTTGAATTCTGCCCAGTCAATTTTCAGTCTAAGACTTCTATGGTAGGGGTCCATGGACCACAGATTGAATTTCCAAAGGGGTTTTCACCTCCACTGGAAATTTTTTAGGGGTCTGCAAATGAAAAAAATGAAAACCACTGATCTAATACAACAGTAAAAGGCAGAGTCTCCCTTTGTGACTCCGCCACATCTGAGCTGGTTAGGAAGCCCGCATGGCTGAGCCACAAGGTAACAGTGAATTGAAGCAGAATTAAATGTAACACCCTTGCTTGCTTGGAGGGTGGCTTCAGCACAGTGGCACTGAACTGCAAGGAAAGGAATGTGGATGGGTGCACTAGTGACGGAGGAAAAGAGCAAGGAGAAACTCCACCCCAAACTGGTGATGTTCTTCACATCAGAGAAAAGAGAGAACTTGTGTGTAGTAAAGATGCTTAACTCACATGTGGATAGTCAAGAGTCTTGGCTATCCTGGTCACAGAGTAAGGCTGAGAGCCTGCACTGTACAATTTACCATACAAGGTTTGGTTAAGTCCTGGCCTGGATTAAACCATCATGCAGCTACAGGGCAGCATTCCTATTTAGCACTACAAAGGGGGACAAGTTGCAGTGCTGGCTAATGCAGCATGAGGCCCAGAGGGATGTGGTTAGCTCCAAGGTCAGGAGGCAAAGTGCTGCCTTCTGCAGAAGCAGCCTGTGGGATTCTCTGACCTAAGCTCTCTGGTGCTATGGGAGACATGGCTATTGTGCAAAGAAGGGATAGTCTACGTAACCTAGAGCCAGAAAGAGTGAGAAAAAACAGACTGGGCCTGGAAAAAATTAAATTGACTTAGTCAAGCACATGAAAGTGTATGACCAACTCCAGAAAGGCCTAACAAAACTAAGTAACTGGGCAACAGGCTGGCAGGTGGAATCCAATATAGACACATGGAAGGTAGTGTACATTGAAAGAGGCAATCTTCTATACACTGCTGGGCTCTGACCTACAACAGCTGTAGTCTCAAGGGGAAAAAATCGGTCTTGTTGACAATGCAGTGAGCGTGATTGCTCAACACCCAGTGGCAGGCAAAAAGGGAATGAATCTCTGGCTATATTAGGACAGCAACAGATCATTATGACAACGTCAATTCTAAGATGACTGGGACTTTCAAAGAAGCCCAAGGGAGTTTGGTGGCCATGTCCCATTGCAATCCATTGGGAGTTGGGTGCTAAACTCCTTTAGGTTCCTGGGAAATTCCAAGCCAAGGTACTTCCTCACCATGAATTCAGTGTCCAGCTCTGGCCACCTCCACACAAAAAGGACACATCAGAAATGGAGACGGGCAACAGGTGTGTTTAGAAGACTGTGGAGTGGGGTAGCTCTCCCCGAGGAGGAAAGGTTTGAGGCTATTTACAGAAGCTTGGAAAGGAGACCAATAGAGAGCCGTGTTTCTTTCAACCAGGAGGGTCACAAAAGGGGATCACAAGATGTTGAAAATTGTATTACAGTCAAAAGCAAAGAAAATCTCTCTTTCCCCCTCCTCCTCCTCCTCCTGCCCACACAGCCTTACCCTTCAAGGTCAGGTGGCCTCTGTCAACTTCTCAATAAGTACATACAAACAGATCATACAGGCTTAGCATTAATACTTTTTTTACTCTTACTGTTATAGTAAAGTAAGAAGGTCATTAAATGTTTTGACTTCAAATAAGGGCTCACCCAACCAATAAGGTTGAAAAACACTGGTAGAGAGGACAACTGCCTTGTCCTATTTACCTCTGTCCATAACACATGGACAAGAGGCACTTTGATGAAATTAAAAGATAACATGTTTGAAATGGATAAACTCATTTTTATATGAAGTAAATTAATCTTGTGCTGCAATTATACTTAGACAAAATAGCTTAATGAGATTCAAGGAAAGGTTTCAGCACATAATTGAAACCACCCTCTGCAATTAACATTAGCTAAAATAAATATTACACGGGCCAGCAAGCCTTATGCTTCAAGACAAACTGAGTACCAGCTGAGGGCAGGAAGAAATTACCCTGGCTTGGTCCATTATTGCACAATCCCAGTAGATGCATTATTGGTGTTTTGCTTCTTTTCCTGAAACATTTTGCCTTGGCCACTGTTAGAAACAGACTAATGGAGTGGCAGGACTATTATGCTATTGCAGTATGTTAATGCCTGTGCTCCCTGAAGGAGGAGATTCCACCACGGGAAGACTCCTGAGAATGACTCGTAACTTAGTACAGACTATAGAAAACATTTTGTGTTCAATGGGAGACCTGACAAGTTATTCAGCATCCTCCTACCCAATGGACCTCCTCAATAGATAGTGCTTCTTCTCAGGATTGGGAGGATACTGAGATACTCAGTTGATCTCCCATCCCAGCTGATCTATCATCTAATGACCAGTGCCCTTACTATTACAGTAGACTTGGTCAGTGGGTGTTTCACTCCTCCTCCCACTCCCAAAGTGACACAGAACTAATGCCTAAAAAGGAATGTCCAATGTTTGGATTGCTGCAGTCAGGGCAGCCAGTGGGGACCTGTGAGCACAAGAGCTGTCCATGGTGAAACCAATGGCAGCAGGTCACTCCATCCTTCACAGTGCTAATTCCCAGGATGGGGACAGAGGGTGACAAAAAGGGAAGAGGAAACAAGAGGAATTGATCAGCAAGCAGATATGTTTGGAGGCACCCAGTGGTTATGCAGATCCTTGGCTCTCAGAATCCCGTGAAGAAAATGTTTGGTGATGGAGATCTTCTTCTGGAAGGAATCCAGTATCATTAATCTTCCCTGCAACCTGTTCCCCTTCTTCACACAGGTGGTGAGTCGGGCCCAGCTGGATTCTCAGGTTTCTGACTGGAGCCCTGATGGGAGGTCTTCACTCACTGTTACTTCATACACTGTGTTGTAGATTGTGTTTTCCTTCTGCACATAGCTGGCGTAGGGCTCCAACTCCTGCTGCTCATTACTATCCTAGTAAATCAAAGGCAATAACCATGAGCACCAGGACTGGATTTGTTTGGAAATAAAAGTTCTTTCTGGAATCTTAAAAAGGTGTGAACTGAGCAACAACATGTCTCCCCTCCCCTAAATGTAAGAAACACAGGGAGCAGGGCTCCACGGATATATGAATGATCACAGGCTGATGCTATGGAAACAGTTGATGGCATATCTGCATTACAGATAGAGCCATCAAGAAGCAGCATGGTCTAGTGCCTAGCACAATGGAGTGGGGCTCAAAACTGGGATCGTGCCTGGTTCTGTCACTGACCTGCTGAGCGAACTGGAGATGTTTACTTCACCTCTGTTTTCTCATCAGTGCTCTGTTTCTCTTACCTATTTGGACTATAAGATCTTTGGGGACTGCCTCTCACTATGTCTTTGTACAATATTGAACAAAATGGAGCCCTGATCTCAGTTGGTGCCTAGAGGTTCTCTTGTAAACCAGTAATAAATAATAATAAACTGGGCTAAAACTACAAAATAACGTTAAGTTCCAATCTATGCTAATGTGGCAGCAAAAACAATCAATCCTATTTAGGCTCCTAAATGCCCAAATGCCTTTTGAAAATGAGACTTAGGTGCCTCAATCAGTTAGATGTTGCAGTGTTGAGGGCAGAAATGCCTAAATACCTTTAAAAATCTGGGCCTAAGTGACTTGCTCAAAATCCCCACAGGAAGTCTGTGGTAGACAAAGGAATTGACCTTAGCTCACTAGAGCCCACGGCTAGCACTCTAACCATTGACCCATCTTCCCTCTCCTGTCCTTATTAGTCAGCTCACCTGTATTGTAACATGATTTGATCACATCAGAGTTAACTATTGTTAAATTGTGACTGACTCTCATTTTCGCTAAGGACTCTTTACACTGCTCTGGCCATAAAGGAGCCTTAAAGGGTATGTAAATTACAGATCTGGCCATTCAGAACTTAGTGACTTTTTGAGATTCACAGTCCATTTTGTTACATGACATCTTTCCTTTTGTAAATTTTAAAAAAAAAGGTTGCTTCTCATTTAGATCAATAAGAAAAACTTTCAAAACAACCCCCTCCCCCCGCCACTTCGCTGTAAAACCACGAGGTGTATCACAGCTATACTCAGCACAGCTCTTCCTGGCATGATCAGGGAGAACTGTCAAAGCTGCTGCTTTTTGAATCACAAGAATGCTAGTTTGAGTCTTGACTGTGGCAGTGCTCTGCAGGCATATATTACAAGTCCAAATCTTGATATTTGGAGTGCACATGGACTCTGTCCTGCTTTGTGTCAAGTGACAGTTTGCGGAACACAATTGCACCTGCAGAAAGTAGGGAGAGCCAAAATCTGACAGCTTCCCTTAATGTATAAAACTTTTCTGAGTTACTTTGGGAGCACATCTCAGATTTAGTGACATCTTGGCTTACATCCACTTCCTTACCTGCAGGTTGTGTGTGGGAGCAGTCTCAGGGATTTTGGACTTACAACAAATTCTGTGGAAGGGAAAAGAGGGAAAAAAGACAGGGAAAAAAAAGTATAACAAATTCTACCTTCAGTGTTAGGGTGGGCCACTGAGACCACACATCTTGGAGCAGGAGGGCCCTGAGAGAGTCTGTAATCCACAACTAATGAACCCCTTCTTCCTCAAGTCATCAAGAAGGGGGCTAAATGTCATCTCTCACTGGATGGCTCTTGACCGGGGTTCTCAAACTGGGGGTTGGGACCCCTTGGAGTTGCGAAGTTATTACAGGGCGGGTTGCGAGCTGTCAGCCTCCACCCCCAAACCCCGCTTCACCTCCAGCATTTATAATAGAGTTAAATATTTAAAATGTGTTTTTAATTTATAAAGGGGGCACACTCAGAGGCTTGCTGTGTGAAAAGGGTCACCAGTACAAAAGTTTCAGAACCACTGCACTTGACTCTGATGTTTTGATCTCCTGACTCTACATATGTGAAGTCCCTACTCCAGCCTGTGGGAGCCCTGAGCCTATTGGGAGAGCAGAATAGTGGAGACAAGGTCCTCTGGATGGATAAGAGCTTTGCCCTGAATAAGCTTTACTCTACATGAACTAATCCCCTTCTGAGGGAGGAGGACATGAGGCTAAGCAGTTGGACTTTGGACTACGGGGGAGAGGAACTGAGTGAGGGGTTCTCCTGGAATACCACCTACACCAGGAAAAGAACATCCCAGTTACAAATTGTCTATATTTAAGTACAATGCTCCCTACTCTTTTACCCTGGAACTGCATCCCTCTGACTCATTTAAGCAAGGTCTGATGGAACTGAAGTGCAGCACACAACAAAGGAATAAAGATTCTGCTGCTTGATTCAGCTTTATTAATCTTCTGACAGGACAGTCCTGCTCCGTCCTCCAGAGCTGGGTGACAACTGTTTGGTAGGGAAACTGATCCCCCAAACTGCTGGCTTGAAGAAGCAGATTGAGATATTCTGTAGTACCTAGAGAACAACTTTTACTTTGCCAACTCTCCATACTGACAGGAAGTTTCCCTGGCGTCAGGAGGTGGCATCTTGTGTCCCATGCCCACCCCCTCCACCAGTGTATCATTCACTTAGATACACTGTGCCTCATCATGCCACATCCTGTGTGAATGTGACAGAATCAGAGATGCTTGGATGTCATCTGATCTGATATCAAATAACACCTTAAGTTTCCTCTCAGCTCTAGACAAACTGATTCCTTAGTGCCATGTCATACATACCTGCCACGGTGGAGCTTACAGAGGAAAATTAAAGCCAAAATGAAGAGGATGCCCAGGAGACCAGCAGAGATGGCGAAATACTGAAGAAACACGTCTAATAAGAGAGAATCATGATTTTCTAAATAGGGAGAATCACCATTTCAGTTATTTCCTCACCGATCAACTCCTTTATTGTGTCCACCTGAGGATCACAAGGTGCTTTAAACATTAATTACATCTCACAGCCTGCCCGTAAAATAAATAGTATCTCCACTTGAGAGAAGGGGAAACTGAGGCAAAAAAGTTAAATAGCTTGTCCAAGGTCATGCCTGGAGATTTCAATCTGGAAGGGGAACCTATATCTCCCAATGGCCAATCACGCACTATATTACTAGATCATGTTGCTCTGTAGACTCTGCATATCTCACCATTCAAGCTATCTCTTATATGACTTCAAAGCAAAAGAGCAAGGAAAATAAATAAAACAGTCCAGATAACAGCCATTTACCGTTCAGATTATGAGACTGTTCCCTGTTTTCAGGTGGACAGACACTAGAATGTGCTCTCCTCCCCTCCTCCTTTCACAGCCCCGGTGGCAGGATTCGTACTTGCATCCCAACAAATTTTATTTATGCTTCTCTTTCAGTTGAACGTCTTGTCCATACAAGCAAGTGACAATTGTGATTCAGGTCCCATCAATGCCTTCCCACTGCCAATAAAGTACCACAACCCTGACCTAGAGGGAGCATCTCCAGGGAGGGAGTAGGATAGATGAGTTTCATGGCCCAAGTCATGATATCCCATAAGTCACTGACTCTTGGTCACTACCAAGCTGGGCCAGATGTGACCTGGTGACATCACCGTGCAAGGCTCCATAGCCATTGTACAGTCCCCTAACTGACCCAGCCCCCCAGGTTAGACATTTGTATGGAAAGGAGATAAGAAAAAGGTCCCACTTCAGTCTTAAATTTTGGGGAGTATTTCTGCAGCCTTTATAGATTTCCCTCTCTAGAAGCAAACTGGAATGGTCAGTTGAATTTGCAAGGTCCCTGCCACACTCTCACCAGTCTCACTGATATTTTTTGGAGCTGGTGAACAGAGGAGCACATAGTTTATCAGTTATGAATGAAGACTAAATAGAGAAAAGAGATGTCTCCTGTTACCTGATTGGCATTCCTTGGATTGGCTTGTGTTCCAAGCCAGATGAGAGACAAAGCAGGTTATATTAGTCTCTTTGGGGCTGTATATACTGAGCACAGTCACTGTCCCATCTGGGTGATATTCAAGCTCAGTCTTGGGATTTCTGTTTGGGTCCCAAGAGACCTGTGCAGCTGGTTTCCCTGCAGCTGCCTTGCACACAGCGGCCCCGTTACTGTCACAGGTCAAGGTCACTTCAGGAGGGACTGCAGGACAGGAGAAAGGGGAAAGGGTTGAAGTTAGTTTGCTGCATGTGGTATGGCAACTTTCCTCATTCCTATACAAGAAGAACCTAGCAGAAAGAGGAGAATGGGAGTGAAGACAGTATTGCAATAAATAGCAAACACCTGCAACAGCAGAATAGATAATGCGGAGTCCTTACAGCTCTTGAAATGGGGGTATCCCGTGGATGAGAGGGTGAGTGAAAACCTTAGGTGTGCCATGTGGACTACCATAGATAATATCCCGAGACACGGCTTTAGGGAAATGAAGTACCCTCTCCTCACACAGCAATTTATCCTGGTTCAGTTTGAGACATATAAGCTCTCATACACCCTCTGCTGTCAAGATGGAACATAAACAAAAGAACAGAACCTGTATTCACTTCAGAACTAGAGAATGTTGAGGGCTAAAGTGGGAACTAGGAAGAACAGCAGAGAGGAGGAAGGCTGGGAACCACAGTAAGCAAAGGTGCATGCCTGTAAGCCCTTTCCTTAAACTGTTTTGACTGCCAAGGTTCCCAGCTCCACCCCACAAAGTGAATGGCCGGGACCAGGAGCTCATCTGTCACCCAGGTTCCACTGCATTGTCTCGTTGTCATGACTCCTAACAATCTCACCCACTCATGTCAGTTTTCTCAGGGATGGTGTGTAGAAATGGGCCTGAATCCAAAACCCCATATCCAAAAAGTTCCTGGATCCTGATCTACATTTTGTGTCATCTGCTGCTGATCTCCGGTAGTAGTTAACACAGGGGTGTGCATATATTTCTTATCCTTGGTGTGTCTTTGTCTCTCTCTTCCCCTCGGTTTTAGTCAATTTTGCAGTAGTAAATTCTTATGGTTATATCATTTAATATAGTCTTTCCAAAATTACCTGGGCAACTTTCAGTATTCTGATCTAGTTACTGCCCTCATGTCAGGTGGGTCACCACAGTAATCCTCCTTTGTTGTGCACAAGATAATGCACTAATGATGTTCCTAGCAAATAGCCTCTTTATGTTTGAGGCAGAAATGTTACAGGGGTAGCATAGGAAGACCTGGATGTCCGAGGGGGTTGGTAATAGGCTCTATTAGCCTTTTACTTGTAGCTTATCAGTTCTAAACCAGATCAGGTTTGCAGTAATTGAAAGTCATTACTATCTGCTGTAGGTGAACTGAGCTGACCTCAGTCCTGGTGCTAACAGACTTGGTTTACACTTGCCAGTGGGCATCCAGTCTCAGATGAGAGACCAAAGAACAATTGCACATGGGGGGACTGAACTATCGTTATTCCCAAAAGTGGCCTCACCAAGTAGGGTTTAAGGTACGTTGACTTGTTTGCTATACATGTTCTGTGGAGAGAGGATTTCAGTCTCCAGAACTGTCATTCTGGAATTTCTCACAAGCACTAAAAGGGTCAGATCCTCAAAGGCATTTAGACTCTTAACATCCCATTGAAATTAGTGGAAGTTGGGAGTCTACATACTTTTCAGGATCTGGGCCTAAATTAACTTTTTAAAAGCAGTTTCATGGGGGGATGGCTGAGGCTGGGAGTGTTTGTACAGAAGCCCCTCTACCAAATAGCCAAAGATTGATGTTAACATTGGGTAGAAAAATAGCTCATGCCAACCTTTCCCGCCATAAAAACAAGGAGAAAGGTTTGAGGAAGGAAAGGAGGACCAGAATGTAAAGAGGTTGGATGTGAGGAGAGACCACAATGAATTCACATAAGGGGATTAACCCAGCAGATGTCCTAAACTCCTTAGTTTTTGGAGTTCTCTGAACCTATATTCTCAACATTCTAAGAGGAGGGGAGGTTTATGTGTCAGGCATAAATCTGATTGTGTAGACAATTAAGAATGTCACAGCCTGTTACTTACCTAATACAGTCAGAGTGTAGGTTTGATTGAAAGTTCCATCGCTGTTTACAGTTTCACAGCTATAACATCCCTCATCTGTGAGTGTCACTTGTCGTATCTGAAGGGCACTATCAGTTTCAGGGCTAGATTTCCAATCCATTCTCTCATTGCAGTTTGTTCTGTCTGTCTTGTTCTGATCAGTTCTGTATGCCAGTGTGCAGTGATTTCCATTCCTTGGTCTTATCTTCCATACTACTGATACCAGATCCTGCCTTGAAATGTCACCACAGGTCAGATTAATGCTGGAACCAGCTATCTTAGACACTCCGATGTTATCTAGACAAGATGTAGGAAGAGAAGGACACTTGAAAAGGTCACCCAGAGTGTCATTACCCCCAGAGCTCCAAGGTTATAACATCTCTAGTATTATAGAATATTCCATAGTAAGATCCCACCTCTGCAGATACTAGACTCATCTCCTTGTGTCCATAGCTTTAAACAGTGACTGATAACCTGACGTTTGGTTTTGCCACCAGTCCATAAGATTAACCTCTCTGCTCTCACATGCCGTAGAACCTCTTCCCTACTGCAATCACTGCCAAGTTTCAGTATAAAGACATTATTGCGGAGTGGAGCCTGACTGAGATGCAAGGCGCACAGCTATATTGGAGGAGCTCCTGGGCTAACTTTCTTTTTTTTCCCCTTGCTTTGGCAGCAATTGTGAGGCAAATGAATGGTGGGGAGGGAGTAACATTAGTAGTGTGCCTGTTCTGTACTGCCCTTGACGTAAGCACAAATCAGGAAAAGTTAGACATTTCTGAGCCACTTCCTGCTGCTCCATCCACAATGGGAGTTAAGCTACCATCTTGGACTAGCTGGAACTCAGCAGAATCAGAAAATCTTTGCAGGAGCTGTATGCTAAGGATTGGTCTACATGTAAAACTTATACTGGGGTAGCTATGTCAGATAGGGGTGTGATTATTTTTTACCAATATAGCTATGCCAATGTAAGCCCTAGTGTAGATGCAATTATCCTGGAAAAGCAGCCCAACTTTGAAAATAGTTTCTATTCAACATATCTTTCTTCCTCTACCCTCCCGAGGCCAAATTCTGCCCAGCTACACTGGAGTAAATCTGAATTAGGTCCTTTGATTTTAGTGGTGTTATGCCAGATTTACACTGATGTTATTGAGAACCAAATTTGAATGTTTGTATTTGATAGTTATCTGGTCACTTCTCTGACAAGAATGAGTTTCTACTCCTGTTAGGCCTGCAAAGCCCCTACAGACACAGGAGAGCAAGCCGGAGTCTATTCTCCCTCACTGAGCATTGACAAAACTCTCAGTTAAGTTCCAGTGAAATAGTCTTTACCATCAGTGGTGGAGGAAGAGGAACAAAGAACCCAGCTGCATTTTCAGATCCCAAGTGAAATCTGTGGAGCCGGCAGTTAGAAAAATCCTTGCTGAGAACAAATAGGGAATTTCCCTTCTCCTCATCTGCTTTTAGAATTACTATTCTGGATATAAATTCCATATGAAGTCCAGTACAATTCATTTTCATGGCTGAATCATCAGCATCACCAAGTAACATCAAATGTATTAGACTATAATATTATGTCCACATAAGTCTATCACAAAAACTTCAACACTGATTAAAAGGACAATTTCAACCTGTTTAGGTCCCTAAGTTACTTTTCTGGGTGTGTTTATTGCATTACAGAAGATGAAACTTTTATTCTGGGTCCTCAGTGAGCTACACAATGTTTAGGTCTTATCTAATCTACATCTTTTCTTAGGAAATTTCTTTCTGTTGCTGTACTACCAGGAGTAACATGGTGTGAGCACCAGTACAGATAGGCCATCGGCATACTTTTACCACCATGTCATTTAACCATGGTCAGAACAGGAACAGACGAGAGCTGGGCAAACTTTGTTTGGTAAACACTACATTAACTGAAAAATGTGGTTGCCAAGCAACCAACATTATTTGTGAATTCGGGTCACGTAGTTTTGGCCAAATAAAAAATGATATTTTTTTTCCAAAAAAGTCTAAATGTTTTGTTTTGACATTTCATTTAGAAATAAACTGTTTGTTTTTCATTCAACCCAGACCATTTCCCCCTCACTTTTTTCATTTTGATGAGGAAAAAAATCAGTTGGGGTTTGAAACAAACAGAATTTTACTTCTCATTTTTCAGTTCACTGAACTGCAAAACCCATTTAGTCACTCAGCTCAAGCCGAGACTCTCTGGAAGTCCAGACACTGGTGGCTAGTCTACACTAATACTCTCGCTGTTGCTGTCACTGATAGCACTACAGTGGTGGCAATGCAACATGAAGAAATTTCCTGAAAAAGGCCAGTTTAGGCAAGACCTTAGAGACGGTGTAGGGGAGTGAGCTCCACTTTCCTGTCTGCCTTGGTGACCATCTCATGTGCTTCTGTGATCAGGCTCATAACCACATGGTCTCTTCTACTTTGGGGGGGTGGGGGTGGGGAGAGCCTCTGATTGGCAAGCTCCTCCACAGAGACCAAGGGGATGCGGTGTATGCCTGCAGTGAGGCATAATTGCTTGCTTGAGGTCACCTGGGAATGCTGAATTGCACTTGCTCTTTGGCACTGCACTCCTTGCTACTACCAAATGTGACACAGTGACGTATAAATGTGGGGGTTCACAATGTCCTTTCACAAGGGCCCCGATTCAGCTAAGCCTTTAAGCCCATACTTAGCTTTAAGCTGGAGTGGTTCCATTGGCCTTCAGTGGAACTATTCACAAGACCTAAGGAGGTCGTGGAAACTCCTTCAGTGGAGGTTTTCCAAAGGAGCCTGGATGGCCAGCTGTCTTGAATGGTTTAGATACAACAAATGCTGCATCTTGGCAGGGGGTTAGACTAGGTCTGGGGTGGCCAACCTGTGGCTCCGGAGCCACACGCGGCTCTTCAGAAGTTAATATGCGGCTCCTTGTATAGGCACCGACTCCGGGGCTGGAGCTACAGGTGCCAACTTTCCAATGTGCAGGGGGGTGCTCACTGCTCAACTCCTGGGTCTGCTAGAGGTCCTGCCCCCACTCCATCCTTTCCTGTTCCCTCCTCTGAGCCTGCCATGCCCTCAATCAGACCCTCCAAGAGCCTCCTGCATGCCACAGCTGATGCAGGGAGGGAGGTGGAGGCACTGATCGGCGGGGCTGCCGGTGGGCGGGAGGCGCTGGGAGTGGGAGGGCATGGGTGAGCTGATGCAGGGCTGCTGACGTGTTACTGTGGCTCTTTGGCAATGCACATTGGTAAATTCTGGCTCCTTCTCAGGCTCAGGTGGGCCATCCCTGGACTAGATGACCCTTGAGGTTCCTTCTAACCCTATGGGTCTATGATTCTTTGCTGGCAGGGGGCTCATTTGAGGACACTGAGTTGATGACCTACCCCACCTACATGAAAGAGGGAAATCCCTTCAGCCTGAACTTGTAACAAAGTGGCTCTAATCCCCAGGGTTAAACCCTGGTCGCTCCTGTTTATCCTCCAGGGGCCTGATAATCACCATTGTTTTGGGTTATTCCCAACCTCTATAGCACCGGTGTAACCCCCGGTGGACTGTGGCATGTCTCGCCGCCCCTGCAATGCTTTTGGTTTCCATATAGCAGCCGGGGATAAATTTTTCCATTGATGGAGGCATACCCCTGAGAGGCAGAGAAACTTGTGTGGTTCTACTGTGCCATGGAAAGCCTGCATTGGGAGGGTATTGGCAGCAACACTAACCCCTGGGCTGGGGGCTTTAGGTGTGAGTTAGTGAAAGAGAGGGTGGCCTGGTGCCGCACAGTACTGGTATAACTCAGAGCACTGAGACATCCATCACCCTGTGAGGGATTGGGAAGGAGAAGTTAATCCCATACGTGGGGCTGAATCCTCTCAAGCCTTTTCTCAGTGTTTGGAGAAGAGTCAAAATATATAACCTGCAGGTGCAGAACAGAAAATTCCCAAGAGAAAACCACATCCTGCCGGTCCTGGGGACAGATGCAGCTGCAACTGCGCCCTGCTTACAACATATCCTTGTTACTTCAGCTCAGACAGTAAAAAAACAAATCGGTAACTCTCATGGGTTTTATTGGTGACAGTGGAGGATATAGCGGGTAAAGTATTTCTTTGGGACTTCCTACGTCCCGCCTTTACTGACAAAAGGGGATAATACTTACCTCCCATCTAAGGTGAACTGTTAGGATTAATTGTTCATGTTTAAAAGTATTTTGAAGATTAAAATCCTAAGTATAACAATTTTCTGGTGCCTGTTCTGTATTGATTTTTTAAATGTATACACAAAATAAATCACTCGTACAAATCTTTGCCCATTTGATTAAATTGACTACAGCATTCTCACTACACTAACACTGCACTAGGAGTAAGATGGGGGTTTTGTTGTTGTTTTTTGTTTCATTTGTTTCATATAAATATATGCAAATTGTTCTCAGTAAGTGAATTTCAGGAAAAGACTCTTCTGGAGTGGTTGTTTCTAATTCAGACAAAGTCATCAGAAGAGGAAATGAGAGAGGCTGAATGTCTCATGATGGGTTCTTGATTTTAGTTCTGTGAAAGTCTCTTAAAATGAAATGGAGAACAAAGAGCTTCCTTGCTTGACTTATCTTTGTCAGGCGCATCAGCACGTCAGGCCACATCATCAATTCCACTCACCTCATCTAAACGTGACTAAGCATATCTAAGAGTGCAAGTGGACTGCTATGGCTGGGCTGTTTTTACTGCATGACAGTAACAGTCTTGTGCACCCTTCTTGACAAATAAATGTGACACCAGTGTACTGGCCTACTGGACCATCCTCTCTTAAGTAACCCTCCCGGGATATGGTACAGTTTCCCCAACATAATGGCTGTCCATTGCCAGCGGCAAGAAAGGAAGAAGAAGTGAAAGAGGTGCTACTTTTTGCTACACCTTTCCATCAGCTTCTATCACAAATGGCCAGGAATGAGTCAGGTACAAGTCACTCACAGTCCACAAGCCACATCAGACAGCTTGAAAGCTGCTGAATTGTGTTTGTGTAAAATCTTCTTTTTTAGGTAAAGTTGAAACAATGGCTTTGAATTGCCCTTTATCCTGTTTTAATGAGAAGGCTTTTAGCTGAGCAGGATAGTTTAAGCAGGAGTCTAAAACATTCTGGACCTGAGCCTCATGTCCATTAGACCAGTTTCCACCACTCTAGTGGGGAACCTTAAATTGGGTGTAAATATAATAATGTGCTTTCTCTGTAACTGCCAGAGTGGGGTAAAGAGGCGTTAGGGGAAATAGGAATCAGGGTCTTTATTCCTAGGTCTGCCACTGATATAATGTATGATGCTAGAA